GTCTCTCCTGGCAGACGCTGTCTGTCCTTAGAGGCTGTTCTCGGAAGCCCTCCTTAATCCCTGTGAGTGTCTGCAGTCACTGCAGGACTCTCTTTGTGCTCATGAGTGTAAGCAGTTATCATTTTGCCTTTTATATTACCGCTGGTTGTATCTCCTTTCCCGTTCTGGAGCTTACTCATCTTTATTTTCTCTATGTGCTCGATAAGTGGTTATTGGCGTGAGAAGAACCAAAAGGAGATTATAGTTGGTTTTGGAGAGTGTCGAATGCTAACTGAAGATTGTAGTTGGTTTCGGGGGAATGTTACATGTTAACCCATGCATTTGCTGGCTTCCAACACTTCATTCTCCCTTAATGCTTTTTTTTTTTTTTTTTTTTTTTTTTTTTTTTTTTAATACAATAGGTTGCTTTTAAGAACAGTTGAAATAATCAATGACTTGAAGGGATTCACCTCCAACAAAAAATTAGATAATACCTTTAACTTTAAAGGGATCGCTGGTTTTACTTATCTACAGACACTTCTATTTTCCTGTCCTTTAGATTTCTTCCAAAACTCTGAAGTTTTAGCTAATTAACATTGCCTAAATGCCTTATATTTCATATCACACATTAAAATTAACTCAAGGAAGTAAAAGTAGCCCTGAGGGTTCTCGTTAGCTATTGGAGGAAGGTAAAACTCAAAGTGTTTTAGCTAATAAACACATGGCTTTTATTTATGTTTTCACTAAGATGATAACTAGAATGAACGAAAGCAGTAGTTAGCCTTGGCTGGTGTTGCTCCGTTGGTTGGAGTGTCAGCTGGTACACCAAAAGGTTGCAGGTTCGTTTCCCGGTGAGGGCACATACCCAGCTCGCGGATTTCATCCCCAGCGTGGGAGGCAACTGATCGATGCTTCTCTCATCAATTTTTCTCTCAACTCTTGCTCTTTCCTCTCTCTTCTCTCCCCCAAAGAATAGTTAGATTGGGAAAGAACATGATTCTAGAATATAAACATGTTACCACGTTGGCATTAGAGGAGGCTTTCCACGAAGCTGGCTTTGGTCTGAGGTGCTGAAGCTCTTGAGCACTGAGGCGGCAGATGGAAGTCAGTAGCAGCCTCTCACCAGGTTTTGCAGAGCTCCTGCATGCACGGCAGCTCTGCATGACAGTCGGTGGCTTGGCTCACTGAGCACAGCAATTTAACTGTCATATCCTTGGAGCATCTGGAGCACACTTGACTGAGGAAAGGTTAGAACACCCTGTTTTTGGACCTCTAAGTTTTTTTTTTTTTTTAATTTTATTGATTTTTACAGAGAGGAAGGGAGAAGGATAGAAAGTTAGAAACATCAATGAGAGAGAAACATTGATCAGCTGCCTCCTGCACACCCCCAACTGGGTTTGTGCCTGCAACCAAGGTACATGCCCTTGACACGAATCGAACCTGGGACCTTTCAGTCCGCAGGCCGATGCTCTATCCAGTGAGCCAAACCGGTTTCGACTGGACCTCTAAGTTTTAATACACAAGTATCATATACAATTAAAAATATACCTGGTTTTATGGAATCTTCAACATGCAGAATTAAGAAAGCAGGGAACTCCTTTTCATACTACTTGAAGTCTAATTTAGAACCATCTCAGCGGGGAACTCATACACGTATTTATTGTGAAGGTGTGTCTGTGGCCTAGCACAGTCACACAGACTGAGGAAAATGAGAAAATCCAAGTCTTTAAGCCTGGTGTTGAAGCTTTTCCATTTGAGAGGGTGGCTAAGGTATGAGAAGGAGGGGTGGGGAGGGTTGTGAATCAGTGACAAAAAGAAAGGTTAGCAAGATGGGCTTGGACCCTACATAAGGACAGTCTATGCTGTAAATTCCAACGAAAGTTTTTGTGTTCTTATAAAAATGTCACTGATTTTATACTGAAAAAGAGTGACTTGGAAGCTATCTTTACTGGTTGTTGGTAAAAGAGATGAGAGACTTTCAGCTAAGATAGCACCCCTCAACCCTTGGTGAGAATCATCTGTTACGTGAGTGACAGGAATGCTTAGATTCTATAGTGGAGTTGGGTTTAAAAAAAAGGTTTAGCTTTGTTTGCAACCCTCCCTCCCAGGATTGCCAAGCCATGTTTACTTTTGAACTAAAACGAATCATTGAGACCATCACTTGACTTTAGTTTAATCAGTAACAAATAACCATATTAGAGCATTTTAAAAGAAGACAGACATAAATGATTTATAAAAGTGAATAACTTGCGATTTGCATTTTTTTATTTTTATGGGAGTACAGTGTTGTTATACAATGTTCTTTTCACATTTCTTTCTTCTGGCATTTATTATAAGGAACAAAGCATTTCTGGAATGCTCATTTTAATTTCAGAGCTCACACATTTGGCGCGTGGAGGATCAGAACAATAATAGTGGCATGCTCAGTGGGAAGCATCATGAATGTGGCACTTAAAACACATTCTGAAGGAACATTTCAGACAATGACACTTATTCTTCACTTTAAGCAAAAGTTTTAAACTAGGTGCTATAACATATCTTAATCTGGGCAAAATATCTTTTAACTCTTGACATATAAATTACTGATGCTAGTGAGATACTTTTTGCACTATGTGAAAACCCATGTAATACATCAGGCTTATTATCATTTTCATGTAATGCATGGTAGAGACACGTGTCCTATTGGCCGCTGGTAAAGCATATAGAATGTGCTTTATTAACTGCCTTCATCACCACAGGGAACCTCAAGAGCAAGTTAGACCCAGAGAGAACACCTTTGACAAGGACCCCAGAGCAGATTTTCTGTATCAATGTGGGGAACGGACTAGAAAATAGATATTAAATTCCCAACTATTTATGTTGTCATGTTATGCATTCTATAAAACATTTTCCATTATTTAACCTTCATATGATTTTACAGGATAACAGGACTGTTCTCATTTCCCAGGAGAGGGGACAAAGGCTTGCTGCAAGGCATTCCACTCTGGATTATGAACCTGGGGATAAAGCAAGTTAGAACAAAACAGAGGGGATGGCCCTCGCCAGTTAGGCTCAGTGGACAGAACATCAGCCTGCAGACTGAAAAGTCCCAGGTTTGATTCCGGTCAAGGACACATGCCCAGGTTGCGGGCTTGATCCCACATTCGGGGGCATGCAGGAGGCAGCCGATCAATGATTCTTTCTCATCAGTGATGTTTTCATCTCTCTTCCTCTCCCTTTTTCTCTGAAGTCAATAAAAATATATTAAAAAACAAACAAAAACAAAAACAAAAAAACAGAGGGTATGTTGTACAGGAGGAAAAAAGGGCAGACAAAAATTATTTTCATCCACGCATTTCCTTATAGCTTGCAAGTTCTTTCTTATAGAACCTTACAAGTTCCTAACTAAAAAAACTGGGTTCAGATATCTAACTGAACAAATGTTGAATGCTCCATAATGAGCAAAATCCTGAGGGGCTGTCTGTCTGTCTGTTGTGGATGAAGTGGCACCGAATTGTTATAAGCTTTGGCTATTTGATGACAAGCAGGAGTTGAGCTTTTGCTGGAATTTCTACTCTTCTCTTTTAAATACTAGGTTCAAGGTTGTTTTCTTCCTTTATGATGGTGACCTTCAGGCTCTGCACATGGAAATGCTAACCAAATTTTGTTATTGGGCTCCCACATTTAATTAAGAAATGGATATTTTCCACAATGCAACATGGTATGAGGTTTTGTTCCAAATATAAATGATTAATTTCTATCTCTAAACAATGCCCTCCTTATAAGTTTATTCTTTTCAAAAGTATTGTGTTCATTATTAACATATTCAGGCAATTCAAAATATAGACATTTAAAAGGACCTCTTTTCACCGAAACCGGTTTGGCTCAGTGGATAGAACGTTGGCCTGTGGACTAACGGGTCCCGGGTTCGATTCCGGTCAAGGGCATGTACCTTGGTTGCAGGCACATCCCCAGTGGGGGGTGTGCAGGAGGCAGCTGATAGATGATTCTCTCTCATCGATGTTTCTAATTCTCTATCCCTCTCTCTTCCTCTCTGTAAAAAATCAATAAAAAAATAAATAAAATAAAAGAACCTCTTTTCAACCACTGCATTCATTCACCTCTTTATGCAATATTTATCGAACACCTACTTTGTGCATAGTTCTGTGTGCTGGAGAACAAAATACATTTCCTGCTTTCATGGAGTTTACATTTGAGTATTGGAAGCATGCCATAAGCAGGTAGACAAGTGGAAAATATCAGGTTCTATAAGTGTTTTGAAGAACTATAAGGTGGGGTGAAGGGACAGATGGTGGAGGTGGTGAGGAAGGCCTCTTGTTAGGGGATTAGAGTGGGACCCGTTTGTCTGAGAGGCCGGCTGAGTTACAGGGGGGGAGGGGGTGGTGGTGGTGCAGAGACAGGTAAGAGAGGTTACAAAGGGCCAGAAATATAGGTTACGGTAAGGATTTGGATTTTGTTCTACTGGGATCACCACTTATTTATGTGTTACAGAGTGGTTCCCATCCCTCCAATATCAGTAGCCTCTATTCTCAGCCTAAACAGATTCCTGCTGGCTACACAGTGACATGAATTTATTTCATAATTAGTTGATATTTTTGAGATATGTCGTTTTCAAATTCTTCTCCTTTTTGACCGCTTTATCAAGGTCCTGTATCCTTTTCTTTCCATGGGAAGTTTCTTTAATGAAAACAGCACACAGGTACCCACACAGACGATCTTCTAAACCATTGCCCTCGTGGTAAAACTTGATGAGACTCAATCTCTAGGGCCTCCGTCTCCTCCCTCGCCGCGCTCCTACCTACCCGTAACTGGGAGCTCTGTGCTGGCTGATCATGTTCTTGGTGCCTTGACTTGGGGAAGTACCAACAGCACTGCTCCCTGTTTCTATGCTGCATTCCAGTTTCTGGGATACGCTTCCTTTGTTCCGGGCTATAATACCCCCAGAACTGTGATCCCCTCACCATTTGTCTAATGAGTGACTTGTATTTTTTTTTTTTTTTTTTTTTTTTTTTCAATTTCAGGTGACTACACTTGTAAATTGTCCCCAGAATCCTTCTAACAGGAAGAAAGGATGTTCCAAACGAGCCAGAGTTCTTCTGGCTTCTGTGGAGGAAGCAACTTGGAACTTACTGGACAAGGGAGAGAAGATCGCCCAGGAGGCCACTGTGTTAAAGGAAGAGCTCACCGCTACGCTGGGGGAAGTGCGCAAAGAAAGTGAGTGCTCTCGCCCTGGTCTGGAGCAAGCTGTGCTCCTCAGGGTGTTCGTTCCCCAAATGAGATTTGCGAGGGATTTGCTTTCCTGATTTGAGTCGGCTGGTTTCATGCAGAGCTCTGAGGAGCTAGCTGTGGGAGCCAGAGAGGCTCATTACACAGCTCTGCGGCTCAGGGACCATCCTGGTTCCTCCCCTTCGTTGCAGGGCCTCCAGGCTGCTTTTGCCCCAGGCACCTTCTTCCCCTCACCGGTCACAGTTTATCCCCAATGAGGAAAGAGAAGTGTACCCTCTCTTGTCATAGAATATAATGAGAAATGACTAATGGAGCCGAAGACCTATTTTCCCATGCATGAATAAATCATAAATTTCCTTGTAAACAGTTGGATATACAAGTTGGATCACCTCTGAAGTGCAATCTTTTTTATTGTCTAAAGTTTTACAAATGTCTCCTGTATTTCCCCCATTGGTTACCCGCCCCCTCCCGCCCCCCCCCCCCAGCTATTCCCACCCCGGGTAAGCTCCCACCGGCCCAGTGTCTCTGTCCATTGGTGATGCTAATGTGCATGCGTACAAGTGCTTTGGTTGACCTCTAACCACCTCCCCCCACCTCCCCTGCCATTTGTTTCTGACTCTATTTTTATTCATTAGTTTATGTCGTTCATTATATTCAACATATGAGTGAGATCATGTGATATTTCTTTCTCTGACTGCCTTATTTCGCTTAGCATAATGTTCTCCAGGTCCACCCATGTAGTTGCAAATGGTAAAAGTTCCTTTTTTATAGCAGCATAGTATTCCATTGTGTAGATGTACCACAGTTTTCTGATCTACTTATCTGCTGGTGGGCACTTAGGTTGTTTCCAAATCTTAGCTATTGTGGATTGTGCTGCTATGAATATAGAAGTGCATATGTCCTTTCTGATTGGTGTTTCTAGTTTCTTGGGAGATAGTCCTAGAAGTGGGATCACTGGGTCAAATGGGAGTTCATTTTTAACTTTTTGAGGAAACTTCAAAATGTTCTCCACTGTGGCTGCACCAGTCTGTATTCCCACCAGCAGTGCACGGGGTTTCCTTTTTCTCTGCATCCTCTCCAGCACTTGTCATTTGTTGATGATAGCCATTCTGACAGGTGTGAGATGGTACCTCATTGTCATTTTGATTTGCATCTCTCGGATGATTAGTGACTTGGAGCATGTTTTTTTATATCTCTGGGCCTTCTGTATGTCCTCTTTCGAAAAGTGTCTATTTAGGTCCTTTGCCCATTTTTTGATTGGATCGTTTATCTTCCTTTGTTAAGTTGTATGATTTTTTTTTTTTTTTAAATTTTGGAGATTAAAATCTTACCTGAAATAGCATTGGCAAATATGTTCTCCCATGCAGTGGACTTTCTTATTGTTTTGATGATGGTTTCTTTTGCTGTACAGCAGCTTTTTATTTTGATGTAGTCCCATTTGTTTATTTTCTCCTTAGTCTCCATTGCCCTAGGAGATGTGTCGGTAGATATTGCTAAAACATATGTCTGCTATTTTGCTGCCTATGAAGTCTTGTAGGATTTTTATGGTTTCCCATCTTACATTTAAGTCCTTTAGCTATTTTGAGTTTGTTTTTGTGTATGGTGTAATTTGGTGATCTAGTTTCATCTTTTTTTTCATTTTCTGGAAGTTTTGATTTTCTAAACTTAAAAAAAATGGTTTGCACAAGCTATACACAACTCATGTTGCTGCTGTGTTAATATTACATAATGAAAGTATATACTTCACCTTTTGATATCTTAGGAGAATATAATAGTTTTCTAATAAATGTAGGTCTCCTTTGCAGGTTATTTTTATAAAAAGTTTCAATATTCTGTGGTCAATAGAATGATTTCCTATGTCAGTTTGCTGCAAGGAACTATTCTGAGAGGACAAGGAACTTAAATTTTCCTGATCTTCTTTGTAAAAGAGACTTTGGTGTCCAAATATTTCCCTTCTCCCAGTATCCAGCATAACTTTAAGAAAATTAGGAAATCTTTGCTAATTAAATAATGAAAATGAATGTAATTGCCGCAATAAACTTTAGGTCTAATACAGGGGAGTTAGTTGTTATAACCTTTACATGTGATTTATATTTTCTAGGACAATACATAGAAAACAATTCCAAGGTAATTTGAAATGACCCCGTCATTCCTTCCTGCTGCCTCAGAACCACCTTGGTCCTGTCTTCTGAGCCCTGGTAACATCATCCGCTCAGTCACCAAGTTAGGCTCTTCGTTCTCATTCCATCCTCCCTTCCAATCAGTCCTTTTAATTCAACAAATTCTATCTCCTTTGGCCTCTCAGATCTATTCCCTCCTCTCCATTTCTAATGTTGCACCCCACATTCAAGGTTACTGTATTAGCCTCATCCCATATCAAAGCAAATAGAACTTTACAAAATGAAATTATACTCATTTATTTCCCTGCTTAACATCCATTTTAGAAGCTTTTGGAGAATTCAGGGGACTATCTTTCTGGATAAAGTTGAAACTTTTAAGTGTAGCGCTCACAGCATTTCATAATTGGGCTTCTACCATGCTCTCCCTTCTCATTTCCTGAGTCTGTCCCTCCTCAGACTTTCATCCAAACAGGAACTCCTGATATCCTGGCCGGTCCACGTTGCTTTCCCCTCTGTTACAGAGCTGTTCCCTTCACTGGGATGCTCTTCTCTTTCAGCCAGTTCTTCTCAGCGGCAAAGCTCAGCCTGAGCCAGTTTCCCAGGAAGTGTTTTCTGGACCCCACGATGCTGATGTAGATGCCCCTTCTCCGTGTCCCCAGAGATTCTGAGCATCTCTCTTTCAGAGAACTTAGCCACTACCCTCCACCCAACTCCTCTGCCCCTTCAGGCACCAAACACTAATTTACTTGTTCAGTAAATCTAGACTCTTTATTCCTTGAGGGTGGCAAGTATCACTTCTTCTTTTTATTATTTTTTGTTAGCGATGCCTGACAGAACAGACACCTGATAAATGTTAAAACTAAAAAATTCGAAGCATCATTTTGTCACTTTGTATTATAAAATTTTATAATGGTTCTATCTTTGCTGCCATGAGAAATTACTCTTATAGTTATGGTTTCATTGCCGTGTCTTTTGGTTTGGAATACAAATTCTATTCTGATATTGTTTCTTCCAGAAAATGGGATCTATTTGATAGCACGGTTTCCATAAACTACCTGGTAATAAATATGTAAGAAGCTGATCATTCTTAGAAGGTTACAATTGCAATCATTACAAAATGGTACTTTTGAAAAAGGTTAGTCAACATTTTTAGCTCACAAGAAGTAAGTTATTTTACAGAAAAGTTCTCAAGGAAAAGTTTGTTCAGATTTTGAACATGCAGTACATCCCTCACTGTGTTCTAATGTGTGAAACACGTGTGTGGCATATGCTGTGTATACAACGAATGCATTTGGTTAAAGATCACCAAGTGCTTTACCTTCTGGTTATTTTGGACAAACTGCCAAACAAACCACCGTCACAAATCTGAGGAGGATGTGAAGATCCACGATCACACGCATGTCTGGGGATCCTCTGGAAAGAAGGCCGGTGGGGATACAAATGCGGTCACTTTTGTCAAATACTCCCATTGCACTGGGAGAAGCTGGGAAGGGGATTGTTAATTCAGAGGAATGTATGGTAAATGAGAGAACTGGAGAAGAATCCATGAAAAAAAAACCTCAGACCCTCATGGAGATCCATCAGGAAAAGTTAAAAGAGGAGATAAAGGAGAAACAGCAGCAGCAGCAGCGAAAGAGCAGCTCAGATAGCGATGACGAAGAAAAGAAACATGAAAAAGGCACTGCCTGCAGAGGAGGCCCGCCTTCTTCGTGTCAAGGAGCTCACGAAGATTGAGGAGAGGAAGCGGCCTGGTAGTCTCCTCTGTGAGACCCGGGACCACCGAGGAGGAAATGGAGGCCTGTACTGCAGCATGAAGCGTCAGAGGCCGGCTGACCCCAGGGCCTCTCCGGGGACGGCAGGAACTACTGGCAGGGAGTCGCTCGTGATAAACACAGCTGATGATGTATTCTCCTCAGCTTCTTGGCAAGGATTGTAGATGGGAAAGTTAGTGTCTGCTCATCTTGCTGCCTGTCTTCAATAAAGCTTCCAGAAGTCTAATGGTAAATTCAGTCCTTCCCACGCTGAAGAAGTAGAAGAAAAACAAAGAGGAAGTACATTAAGAGCAGATTAAGATTTTTATGTTCAGTTTTATATTAGTGATATGGAAAGAGACTCTGGCATGCATATCTCTCTCTCTCTGTCTCTCTCTCGTTAAGTCTTAAACTTTATTTTTTTAAATTTTTATGGCCCTTTAGTGTTTGACATTTTAAAGGTAAATTACTTAGTTTTTCTCAAAACTAAGGCTTCATATTTTTTTTTAATTAATAGTAACTATAATTGTTATTTTAGAGTCATTTGTTTTTGCCTTCTGAGGTTTTCCTGGTTTGCAGCTAAAAAAAAAAAAGAAAAGAAACACCCCACAAAAAACAAAACAAAAAAAACAAAACAAAACAAAACAAAAAAACTATCTGAAAGGAAATTTGTAGAACATGTGAATAACTTTATCTTCTGTGGTAATAATTCTGTTTTTTCACTCGTTTATAAAATTTTGATTTTAAACTTATTTCCTTGTGTCTCACACCCAGAACTAAATGTGGTAGCCTTTGAACGGAAAAATAGCTATGTTGTCATTCTTGAATCAAGAGTTGACCAGTCAGTGTTAGGCCTTTTACCATTTTGGGCATGAGCGTTTAGACACAGAAATCCTTTATCATTGACGATATTGTTTGTGATAACTATTATTTTTGTTTTAATTGTGATTGCCTTTATGTAACAACCATGAAAGCTAAATTTGACTTTAAAAGCTTGTAGAATTCCCTTGTACTGAATGTTTATTGCCAGCAGGTGCCACTTTGTAAAATTTGCAAAACCAAAAGCTAAAGTTGACAGTTTCTTCAAAAAATTATAAGGATAGCATGTAGGACTACT